GCCCTATCGATGTATCGAACCCGTGCTGCTATCCTCCCAGACAAGTCTGGTACCTATTTGCCGAGCCCGTAGAGACGAAAGGCTTGGTGAGCCAAGGGAGCAAGGTTCGACCCCGTGTGTGTGCAGCATGGTCCGACCACTACGCCACACGCGCTCTCATCGCTCCAGGGTACATAAAGAAACCTTTTCTCTCCGTCTTGTGAAAAAGTTGCTGAATCGATACTGTTCGCTCTAGAACCCCGCTAAAATCGGATTTGTTTTCCACGTTTCCTGTGAAGAACTCTAACCATGGGGTCGGCGGTCTTCCTGCCATGTGCTTAACATCCCGAGGAATTCTGCTGTTGACGGCCTTGTCCAGCATTTTCGACTTGTTGGCGCACACAACGGCATCTCTGAGCATTGATCAAGACGGAATAGCTCTCCATTGATGACTGTAATGTGAAAAATCGCCTACGATATAAGCTTAGAACTCTTTGACCTTCACGTCTGCATATCTCCATGTTTAAAGCGAACGGGTATATTGTCCCAACGGTTCACCTTTCCGATGTCCAACGTGCTATTTCACCGGTGCATATTCCTATGTCACTCAAACCGCAGAGCTGTCTACGTGAAGAGACGAACAACTATCGCTGGATATGCCGTCTGTTACCTACAGTCTCTTCACTCGAGTCCCCTCAAAAGGATTGACAGAACACTGATCGAGAGGCAACCATGGTGTACGCAGGATTTCCAAAATAATTCGGTGTGGTAGACTACATCCACACGATAAAAAACTCATTAAGATATTGTAAAACTATGAGAAACCAAACTTTCTTTTCTCAATTTCATTGACCTAAAGAACTCCTTCGACTCAGCTGAGACAGAAGGGGTCATAGAAGCCAGAAGGGGTCATAAAAGCATTGAACGGCCAGCGCGTCTCCACTCAATAGATAAAGATCCTTCGTAAGCTACATACGAATTTCACAACCACGATGTCTCTGTTCTTCAACGATATTAACATCGACATAAAAGTAAAGGCCCAGCAAGACGAAACCATTTCGTCAAAATTATTTGCATTCACCCTAGAAAACACTATATAGAAATTACCGTGGCGTGGTCGATCTTGGTACTGGTTTACTTTTAGCAGGGCCTCTTGATGGAAAATACGGATTCCTTCCCAGCTTGGGAGGCTCTGCCGTGGGGATGAATCCCTCTACTGTACATCGCCGCCCGACACCCAGGAAAACCTCCCAGCCTCAATGAGGCGGTAAACCGTTTGCAGGGATCTTTACCTGTATGTTACAAATTCTCCATTCTACCAAGATGAATTTCTCATTCTCTGACGTTTATTAAAGAAAGGTTCCGCATTGCTTCATTCACAACGACTTCCGCTACACTAGAATTTCGCGCTGCAAAAGGCGTATGGACACGAGGATTATTTTAGCAGTGCATATTAATTATTTTCAATATTTTCATTCAATAGGACGCATGTGGCGCAGTGATTGTAGGCGCCAGTGTGACACACGTGGAATCGATCCCCGCCCCCATGGCCCGCTAAGCCTTCCATCCCTCCGAGGTAGGTAAGTTGGTACCAGACTTGTGTGGGAGGATAGCACCACTGGTTCGATATATAGGTAGGCCACCGCGACTCGTTGTAAAGGCCAGATATGCATTCAATCGCTTCCGAACGATGTTTAATGAAGACGAATGTATGGCGCATCCTTCAAGGATTGATCAACGCCGAGAGCTTTATCCCTTATCCTTTATTTTTATTCAATATATTGTTGAAGACAAGTTGCAGTATTTTCATTGAAAAGTTACGCAGAATAAAACTGAAGCAGGGTCTCCTAAACTGAGAAAGAGTCCAGTTTTCCATTAGGAAGCCTAAGAGCTAACCAATACGAGAACCCAGTACCGTCCTGGTATCAAAATCCCATGGTGGCAGATCTTCCTCTGATCCACAAGGGCTGCGACTGCCTATTCCAGGGAACCACAATGGCTTAATCAGCAAATCTCAGAAAAATGGTGATGGTGCTGTGGCCCGCACAACCAGTGAGGACGGATCATTCAAGTATTCAAGTAAGTAAGTATAAAACTGAAACGGTGAGTAAAAATGTGAGGATGCACATTCCTAAAAATGCTATCACTGATGAAACTCAGTTTACTGCCTTTCTTGTAGACGTTCTATTTTTTAGTGTTACAAACTGACAGAGTACTCTCGTATTAAAGGTGAACTCTTATAAGCCACATTCTGTTTTATTTTAAACACTGAAACGCTTGAGCTAGCACTTTTGGGCGTCATACCTTGACTTCAATGCCTGTCGCAAGAAGGGGCACTTCCGGAGCCCACCTGTAGTGGTGTCGCATAAAGTCGTGAACGGTTGTGGTTAAAAGTGGAAGTAATGACGTTGGGAAAAACAAATAGCCGCTCTATTTCGCTTGGATTTTAGCATAAAAATAGAGGTAGAATGAAAGACTTCATGGTGATTCAGGACCAACTATGACATTGTTGGTGTTCTAGTGTAAAACTTTTTTATGCGTTTTTCTCCACAGCACCTCGTCGAGAAGCTTCAGAATCGCTGAAATTTCCGAAACAACCTTACTCTCCTCTGAATTAGCACATTTAAAATAAAAGCCACTACCAGAACAGTTATATTATTGGTTATTTTACGGCTTTCGTTTTTTTCTTTTGCGTTTTTCCTACATATATGGAATAGGGCGCTTGTGGCGCAGTGGTGGGAGGCGCTCTGCAACACACACGTGAAATCGATCGCCCATGGTCCACCAAGCCACCATGGTTCCATTTCTCCGAAGTTGGCAAATTGGTACCAGACCTGTCTGGGAGGACAGCTACACTGGCTCGATATAACGGTAAGCCACCGCGAGTCATTATAAAGGCCAGATATGCATTCAGTCACCACCAACGATGTTTAATGAAGTCGAATGCATGGCGCATCCCTCAGAGATTGATCAACGCCGAGAGCTTCTAGTTTTTTATATGTGGAGTGGAATTTATTTATTCACTTGTAATGACCCGACTAAAGTACTTCGGGTATTCCTGCAATTCTTGCCTTTCATTCGACTCTCCTCCTGCATATCTTGCGATAGCCTTCGGAATTTGCGACTGGATTCAGTTGATGATCCAAAATTTTAGTTCTTCTTTGTGAATGCGGTTGAATGCTGGTTGAGATAATCGTCTCTGTATTCTCGGTATAGTTCTTCTATAGGATTACCAGTTCTTCACTAAAGGTAGTCGTTGATCTATCTGAATCAGGCAAAGCTTTTCCTAGAGGAGTCTGATACTAATTTTACTAGCCAGGAGGGAAAGGAGATTGGTTGGTTCGGGGCGGAGTGGAACTGGCGATTATGCATGTGCTACTGCACGGCGTGTTTAATCGCTTCTCGCGCCCCCTTGTAAATGGAATAGAAATACATTACTTTTTATCCAGTTAAATAGATCGCGGCTAGCTACAAGCCCTAAAAAATTGCTTGCCTGTTTAGAATCTATCGTATAAGCAGAAGTGATCGAAACCGCCAGTTGTATAATCTGTAATGAAGTTAATCATGAAATAAACTACAACGAACACAAGTAAAAGTTCCTTCGTTGTTGTCGGACACTACAGTTGTGTTGTGGAATTCCTACACCTATGCAACAAGAAGGGGATCGCAGTTTTTCTACAACGGTCCTTAGTTTTAGCGGTCTTGCGAACAACATAGTCTCGCATAGCTTTCCGTTCTTTTCTTGGAGTGGCTTTAATCTTAGCTATGCACCCTAGTAAAAATTGCGAAACTACGACAACTGCTCCAAAATTCCATCCCTCATGATGCAGTAAATCATTGTGGAATCGAAGCGATATGTCACAAAGAAATGCATGCTTAGAGTGATAAAAGTGCTTGAAGCGTTTTCAGCAGTGCACAGCAACGAATGTGATTAGAGCGATGGCCGGCTCTGTTCGGTTTCTTGTCGCCATCGTCGCTATCATTCTTAGTGTAAGTATACATAATCTTGTATAAAAAATAAACTGTGGAATTTAACTAGTAATTTTTGAAAAAAATCAGTGTAACGAGGTATAATCATTTTAGGTAAAATGCCAGAGGGATCGTCGAGAAACTTTCGTACATTTCGATCTTAAAGGTTAGTGAACGTGTTTAAATAGGGCAGTATTTCAATTTATATATATTTCCTTTCTATTGTACCTTTCGGAGGCAAAAAATCTAGGTATTAATCGAATCACAATTCTGTTCAATACGTATACTTTGTGTTCCATTGCACCTTCAGCCCATTTTCTGCCGCCCCTAATTCTGCTATCTGCGATATGGAACGACTCCTGACTTCCAGCCTTTACAGACTTGCTGGTTATTAGAAAATAAACGATAATATTTCGAGAAGTAGAGAACATGCGGTATGAGTGCATGACAGGATTGTAGATGACACTTTGCTCTATCGCTCTGTGGTTATGCATTTTACTACCTCCTAAATGTTACTACGGTACATCACACAAACGTATCGCTGTCAGCATTTGGAAGTATTTTGCAACTAACCCTGGTCTGTCTCTGTTTCTTCATGCATATACGTTCTATGGAGTGTGATTTATGCAATCGATTAAGATTGGAAAAACTGCCAATTGTCAATCAAATTACGAATCAGTAAACTAGTTCGAGAAACTTTTCCTGCATTTCCAAGAGCAGAATAGAGCTTTTCCCAGCCAAACGCTTGCCACAAATAGATAAGCTACCGAATGATTACGAAATGTGTGAGGAAAGAATTCTGTACGCTAAAATTAATTTTTAAAAAGAAATTGACCCTTATAAAACCCTTGCCGGCCAAAAGGAGAGTCATGTGTGGACACCATATTATCCATGTATCGCGAGTAAGTCACTTACAACGCATATTCAGCAATAACAGGACGAATTCTGTATTTTACTAGTTTTTTAGCTGTTTTTACTTTTCAAAAGTTGTGTCATCTAATCTACTATGAACATTTTTATTCCTAGAGTACGGTGGAATTACAGGAGCACCACCTCGACCAGCTTATTTCAAGCAGTTGCTCACACTGGTCAAAGATTTAGGAGCGGATGGTGTTCTTATTGAATGGGAGGTAACAATCGATTTGACGATGTATTTCAAGGGAATGGTTCATTGTGTTAAATAGTAACTTTTGATTAGTGCGGCGGTGTAAAAAATGGCACGAAAATGACATCACAAAATAATACTCAAATTTAAAAAAATCTGTAGCAGAACAAGCTTCAGTCAGGTACCACTGTTTCGTATATTGGTCAGTAATTCCAGACACTAAGATTTCTACACTTAAACTGCTATTCAGGTCTAAGAAGCACTTTCTGGTTCACATGGACCGCTTCAATTCCCTCGATTTTTGGCAAACTATCATTGTCGTAAGAATCAGTATTTCTACCAGTATTTCGCTTTATAACGTTGCTCTAGTGGGGAGATCTGGTCTATGATCTGGGAATAAGCTTCTTATCTTTACACATTTTCGGTGGGCGATACCTAGAACTATCCTGCTTAGCCCTAACTGTGTGGGTTGAGTACAAATTTATACCGGGATTCGCTCTCCTGGTTCCTTCGGCGTTTTTAATACCTTGCATCACTTGGTCGCCTCTCAGTCCCCACCAATGTATGTCATGCCAGCGTTCTATGAAGTCTCGCGAGTAATCTGGTCGAGATTAATCACTCAAAGGAGATCGGGAAAATGTCATTTAAGATACTGATTCAACAACTTTTTAAACATAGGAAACTATGACAGAGTATTGAATGGTGCAGTGTGATTTATTTAGATTTTTATGTAGTCGAATCAAAAATTTTTAAGCTCCTCTTTTTAACGAATAAGCTCGTAGAATTCGTTTAAACATTCCAAACCACTCACGTATAGCTGACTAATGGAATCGCTTACTGCAGGTGACAAGGAATGTTATACGTGAGGTTGCTGTAACGTGGTAATGGTTCCCTTTTCACAATACGACTTTCAGCCATTTTTCAACAATGACACACCTTTTGTTTATCTATTTAGCTTTTTGCTCGAAGTTTTCGTTCTGAATGTCAACATAATTGAGAATCCAAGCGTATTTAGGACATGTTCCCATATGCAGGAGCTCTCTCATCAATCAAAAACGGCAACGCCTACAGCATTGACGAAACGCTAGACATTTTACAGCAGTAAGTAAGATTACCTGTACCACTTTTTATCCCGATATTCATCAGTAGCCGTGTCGTACATCACTAGAATCTACCTTCGTCACAACACTGAACTTTTGATATGAGGCTCTTTGTTTTGGCTTCTAGTTGATTTTTTAGCTGCTAAAACGTAATCATGTCCTCTCATAGCGCAGTTTTACCTTGGATGAGTTTCTGGATAAAAATTTCACGCTCTATAGACTGCCTGATCCTTCTAGAAGTGAACCCTCACCAAATGTCGGAAAAATATCTCAGGCTTATGATGAGGTCGCAAAGTGTTTGCAAAAACATGTACGCATTTCCAACTGGCGGTATAATTATGACATGGGACTGTTCACGGAGAGGGAACTACTTGTAAAGCATGAGATTAACTTCTCAAGCAAGATCGCCATGGTGAGAAGCCCAGTGTTTCTTGGCCGAATCATAGCCCTAAAGGACATAACGTTTCACGGAGGCACAAGGATAAAGAAGTAAATGTGATGAGGAAGTAAATTGGTCCTTTCACGCCCACCACTTTGTCGAGTTCAACATTTTCGTTTTATCGGAACCCTAGGGGAGGAAAAATGATGTGCAACAACATCATCTTATTAACGAAATCTTTAACAGTATTCTGAAAATTGATTTCAAGCGAGATTAGCATCACTAACTACTACATAAGAAGTTGTACAAGTGCAGACGACGAATTAAACCCATTTAATGAGCGCGAAAGAAGGCAAGCTGAATAGTAGCAGAAATACGGAAGCAAAAACCGTCTTCCCTCTGGAAGACACTGTCCTACATTGTGACTTACCAATATCACGATATTCAAAAAAATCGGTACCACTTTTGACAACGAAGATGGAACGCAGAGAAAACCTTCGCGCTACCGTAATATCCACATGAGGGTTTCATTTCGCCACGAACTTGAACAGAACTCCTAAAACTGCCCCAGATAAAGAGACAAATTGAGCTTAATAAAAGCTTTAGTCGAAATTCTTTTCTAACATGTATGGCAGGCTGGCCGTGTTGTACAGTGGTCGGAGGCGCCCTTCGCTACACATATGATCGGCTCCCGCGCCCCAGGCCCACGAAGCCTTCCATCCCTCTGGGGTCGCCAAATTAGTACCGGACTTGTTTAGGAGGATAGCAGCACTTTCTCTTATATCGATTGTCAAGGCCAGATGTGTATTCAATCACCTCCAACGATGCTTAATGACGCCGATTGCATGGCGCATCAGGGATTGATCAACTCCGAGAACTTTATCCTTTTCTTTTATCTTTTTCACATAAATGGAAATCGAGCCAGTGGAGAGTGGTCGAGGTAATTTTTACGATAACCATCTGACTTCCTTACCCCATAGCGTTTTCGACATTTTCAACGGAAATTATTGAACTTTTGCATTGCGAACGAAAAGTGAGATACTACCAAGTCAGCGAATGTAGTTTCAATAAGGGATACAGCTTCATGAAGTTAGAATTCCACTGGAAATACCAACCACAGATTGGGCAAAGTGTTTTGAAGTATATCCGACGCATATAACACATTAATCTCTTCGTAATCGATATTATATTAAGTGTATTCACTATTATTAAGCGAAATGTAAATACTTATTTTAAGTAGTATTACAGTAGAAGTAACAACGGGTGAAGTAGAAGAACAATGAATTGGGTTTGGCAGATCGTAGATCCTGGGCTTATGTGGTTTTATTTCGCGCTAACCACCTGTACTCACAACTCATGATGTACTATTGCGAAAGAAGCGAAGTGAAATTGACTAAGCTGTCACAAACGGCTTTGCAAACGAACGTTACTGCATGCAATTATAATAAGTGACTAACCGCATTCGGTATTTATCAAATAGTTTTCGTCATTATTGCTAAGCAAACATGGAGTTGAACTACCCAAGTTTGAGTGGCTGTATTTCTACCGATACAAGTTGTTTTTCAGATACATATGATTTGCAGTTTGCAAAGTTTGTGCAAAGTTGCAAAGATAAGTTTGCAAAAGCCGAAAACTGAAATCGTAATGTGTTTAGCGCCAATTCATTGGAGCTATCTGTAATACCTCTAGTGCAGACTGTGGGACATCTAGAGTGGATACTGAAAACCAAGGAGTTTGCCAGTCTACGCGAGAATGCTAGTTACCCTATGGTACTTTTTAGTTTTTCCATTATTTTCCGTTATGAAATGATTTTTACATTAAGGTTGTATGTATCGGCAATCATCAGACCCTCACTCTGATACTTGATGCTATCCATCAGGTGATGAAACTTTGCTGCTTAATACGGCCATCATTCAAGGAACTTAAGATAACTATTCTGTATTGGTTGAATTTTAAACGACCATTAAGTTATTGAAAACAAACTTTCATCAATGTGTGAAGTCTAGACATTTTCCTGATTTGCAGCGTAGTATGGCCATCTAAGGTTAAATCTGAAAGGTCGGAAGTTCGCGTTTAGGTAGTGGTTCTATTCTTAATAGTTTTGTGCATTGTAGTCGTGTAATTTGCCTTCTTCTGATGTCACGAAAGCCAGTACTGTTACCATCTATCTGTCTTATATAATAGAGTTCCATGCTGTGTTTTCAGCCCTGTAGAAGGAGCATCAAAAGTGCACGTGCAACGTTTTGCAAGAAAATGTAGTTATCACTTTTGTGGACAAAAAAATATCCGTCGGGCATAGGGTGGAATTCAGTGATAAAAATGATGACTCGTGTTCAGCGATCGTCGATCTGCCGCATATATCCTGACCACTCATGTTTTTAATCTCCATCTTTGGGTTCAGACTTAATATCTATTCATCTATTTATTTGAAACCACAACTGCATGTTTCCTTTTTATTATCTTGTTCGATGATAATGTAGATGTCCTCAAACCTACCCCAATGCATAAGGACTGTGAATTACTCTCTTATCGTATAGTACATGACTATTTTCTTCGTCCAAGTATCCGACGGATTTCTATCCATCCCAGAACATTCTAAGATCGTCTCCTCAGGAACTAGCTGACCTTTGCTGATTTGTGGGAGGCTTACTCCTTGTCATTACCCTTTCTTTAAGGACGCAGGCCGCTTTGACATTGGTTTATTTTCGTTTGAGGTTTCCAATGTAAACTTTAAACTCTTTCGCTGGTTAGGTTTAGGATTAACCAGTCTTATCTTTTCTTGATTCTAGTGTACCAGTTGATTTTATTTATTAAATATATGCAAATACATATTGCGCCAATCTAGGTGATTGCAATGCATTCCAATATACGCGCTCCGTATATACACATTGGAGCTGATGAAGCATTCCAGGTATTTTCGTGGGTTATATTATTGTTAACGGTAAACTCAATAAGCATAGAAGTGTAGGTATAAGTACAAATGCTTGTACTTTTATATTTAAGTATAAGTATAGAAGTTACAGTGGTTCGTTAGAAATAAAATTCGCATAACTCTCAAATCATTTGGTAGTTCTTAAAAGAAGCCTCAAATCTCACCTCTCTAGGCTTGTAACAATAACTACTTTAACAACGTTTTTTCACTTGCATCAACAAAGAAAACATGTGACACTTTTTCCTCTTTTCTTGAAAATTTATTCTTTTGAATACTTGGATAACCCATCGTGGGTTGTCACAACTATTTGATTGGTATTTCACTCGTTGGACAGCCACGCAAAGAACCACGGTAACCACGCAAAGACATTTACACGGATCATGACAGCTAATTGCCCTCTCTTCAAGATTGCTAGAAACTGTTTGTATCAACTAGCTTAGCAAACCAATATTTATTGAGAACAAACAATTTCCTTTTCTCATCTTAATTATTCTGGTGAGTGTAGATGAGTGGAGGAAGGATGATTCTATGATGGTAGTAATTGTGACAGTGATGGATCTAATTGTATGTTATTCACAAGTGGAACTGCTGTGCTAACGTTCTTGTTTTGGGAAGATTGTTGACACCACTAGTGATATAATAGAAACAGAGAATAATCTCTACAAGTTAGACCTTCAATTGTGCCAAGGTTTCCTCTGCAGTAGCGGTAATCGCAGTCATTTGTATTCTCTTGGCTGGACTCCCTGATGGAAATGTTATGGAGATGAAAATAAGTTGAAACCCACCTATTCTAAATGGATGTGTTCAGCTATGTAGACTAAATAAAACAAAGGCTTCTCATCGTTTATTCAATGATGAATTCGTACCTTTTTCCACTTCTTTACACCGTATTGTATCATAGAATCTTAGAAATAACTACCTTCTACTAAGTCCTTTATTCACAAAAATGTAAAAAATAGGCTTATTTCATAAACTACAACTTCACACGTAATGAAAAATTTTTGTTCTGATTCGTTTTGAATTTATACCTTATAGGTCGGAGAATGTGATGCTGATCACAAAGTACTGCCAGTGAAGTATGCAAACAGTACGAAAAGGCTCATGTTGGACTACATCCGAGCAATCGCCACTAACATCACTCAAACATTTAAGAAAACGGAAGTCTGTAATCAGAAATTCTTTTCATCTTGAACATCGGCTGATTGCCATGAGTTTGTGGGCATTTGAAATTCTCCACGAAGTTTTACATCGAACGGAAACGTTGTAGTACAGCTCAGAGAAGCTGTTCAACAGCGAAATCTTTTGCATGCATCTTTCATTTGTTCACTTTTTGGCAGCTTTTTTTCTTTTTGCTTTTCTATTTTATTCGTTCATATCTTTTCTGGTTTTTCTCAACCCTTGTCGGCCAGGTGCTCATGTGGTTTGACGAAGTTAAAAACACCGGCCACAAATTAATCAAAGAGTACGAACTGGATCGATTGGTTATACCAGTAGTGTGGAAGTATACAACAAACTTAGATAGGGTAGGTTTTACAGCTTTATGATTGCTGAGTTACAAAACGAAGATCTCTAAAATGATGAGTAGAAGTTGCGTAGTTGGTTCCTAAGTAATCCGTCTTCAGGCAGAATCGTTTGACAGCACATTTTCAGTTTAGTTGATAGTTTGTAGCTTTCCTAGACTTTTTCCTGATATCCATAAAACCTGTGCTAAGGTATTCCACATTCCACAGGACTTCTCAACTGATGGGCGTCTACCCTTGCAGATAAAGAACTTTGCTACCTTGAGGCTATGTATGTCCTAAAATGGTGGCGATTCTGGCTTGTGTTTCTGGATTGAAATTCCGAGCTTCTCAGCTTTGATAGCCCACTATAGAAGATTGATATTCGCACAACACCGAAATCCCACGCCCAGAAAAACCTTTACGCGAAAATTTTTCTGTGTATGAGAAGAAAGTCTCATACATATTTAGATTATCAAAGTAGCGCAAAAAACCCTTAGTAAATGAATTACTAGATTGTTCTACAAATTGTGCCGCTTTTACGAATTCGTTCGTTCCGTGCAGCAGTACTCTTGTGCAATTATGTATTCCCTTTCAATGTTATCTACTTCTCCTCTAAGATCAATAGTTTTTCAATTCCACGTAGATAAAAGACCTAGTGTCAGTTTACGAGCCAGTTGCAAGCATTCAGTACTTCATGAACAGCTTTTGAAAATGAGCGGAAAAGAAGAAAACCAGATGGTGTAAGGTGCTGGAAGAACACCGGATGCTGAAGAACTTCTAAACTTAGCCCGTGAACACCATACTTGCTAGGCAGAGACATGAAGTCGGCTGTGCTCTTGCTGTGGACTACTCGCATATTAGCAACTGGAGTGTTTTTGTTGAACAACATCCATCAGACGACGAAATTGCTGGCAGTAGAAGCAGCTGTGATCGCTCGAGTATCAAATTTCAAATTCGATGTTTTTCTTCAATAAGCAGACACGAGGTTGTTATTATAGAATTTATTAGGATACAATAGCTGACGTTTCGGCGGTTTCGCCTTCTTCAGCTATCGTCCATGTATTACTCTGTGCGGCTGCTATCCACCGACTAATTTAAATACTTACAACAAATAACCGGCTCTGAAGAGGGCGAAACCTCCGAAACGTCAGCTATTGTATCCTAATAAATTCTATAATAACAACCTCGTGTCTGCTTATTGAAGAAAAACAACGAATTATCAATCAATACCGAGGTTACCAGGAAGTCGGTCATGGGAACATCAAATTTCTCTCAATGAAATGTGCAACTCATTCGGCACAAAACACTGAGGATTTTCTCGTTTGCAAAGATGAAGATTATGTCTCATACACTGACGCAGCTGCTGACTTTTGTTTTCACACTGTTTTCATCGCTTTTTCTTCGCATCTTCAAGACTCTTTTCCTGTGCTTGTCACAGTGAAAATGAGCTGGGATGGTCGATATAGGGTTACGAAATGGCTGTGGCAAAGGACCAATGAATCACATCTTCTGACTTAACTTCTACAGCATTCAAAATCCTCATGTGCTTTACACAACTCCACACTTGCCTGAGCACTACTTCATGGCTAATAATCAAGGTACAGTTCGCGTCTTCTCGATTCGGTAGTTGTGCTCTCGAAAAAAAATCCACGGGGCATCGAAATCAGGTCGAATCGTCCATCCTAAAACACAATTAAAGAAGGATTTCCATTCTGCTATAACCTCCATGAAGTTCGTTAATGCTTCGAGATGTCCATATAACAGAAGCTGCGATTACATTGCTATATAAGGACAGAAATGCTTATCTTTGCTGTCATCGGGCTCCATTATTTCGGGTTTCAAAACTGATTTCGAGTATTCATAGAAGCTAATTCGATAGTTATTCAAGTAGATGAAAACATGGTCTGCAAGATATTGCACGACGTGAAGACTGTATAACCTAGGTGACATGTTATCACTGCTAGAACAAGTTTTAACTTGACAACATAGTGATTTTTATGCAGAAATATTATAAGAACATTATAGGATCTTCCACCTGCCATGTGGGAGGAACTGGCCCGCTCATTTTCGACCGTCTGGGGAGCTAGCGCCTTCAAAGGTGCGCTTTCAGTTCTAACCACATCGCAGCATCGATCAATACCTTTTTATGGCAAAAAGAGGGTACCGTATAATAATAAATACAGTTTTTAGGTGCTGATGGTCCAAATAGGTATTGGAATCGTATGAAAACCTATATGCTGAACAATAAGCAGTGGTAAGCAGAGCGAGATACTGCTAGCAATGAGATTTTTACAGAGTGAAGGAGAAACACACAATAACCCCATATCTCTCTCGAATAAGCCATATTCACTCGGTGATGCTCTTCTATACAGGGCAAAAATTGTCACTAAAATTAATATTCAAAAGACCGACTTTCTATAAAGTTTGGCATAGATAGTTGTTATATTTATTTATGATCTTATGAACTGATCTTCTTAAGCTGATGCGAGGTTGGTATAGGTCTTCGTTGTCGTTGCCGTTGTTGCCGTCGTTGCTGTTGGTGTTGTTTGTCGATGGCTGACCTTTCGGTGATTTCGCCTTCCTCATCCTGAACGTATTTTATATAAGAATACTTTAATAATTCGTTGGAAAAACGCTAAAGTATTAATGAAGACCAAACTTTTAAATAGACGCCATATTGATCAAAAAGGCTACCTCACAGTGCTATTATGAGTGGGACTCGCCCGCGTGTTATTCACGTGGGGTCACGAGCGAGTCAAACTCAGGGGTCAAAATATTATTTTGAAATAATGTGCCCCAGGTCACGTATGATGGTGAGGCATTCGTCTTCCCGGTTCATCTTTGGATTTTTGAAATTCATCCAAAACGCCTCAAGAGTTTTGCCCGCCGACAACGATAACGAAGACCCATGCAAACCTCGCTTAGACCTCGCATCAGCTTAAGAAAATAAGTTCATAAGATCGTATAAATAAATATACCAGCAACCAATATTGTTGTCACTGTTACTTTATCAAAATACTGCTGTTAAAACTATTATAGTACATTGTAATAATGATATTATTATAAAGCCCTTTATTACCAAAAAATATTCAAAATTCGGAAATCCAACATATTTTAAAAGAAATTTCGTACATCCATCAGAACATTAAATTTCTCGGTTGTCGTTTCCTAAGAGATTCTTCTGTGGGAGAAGTTATATGCTTAAACGATTTGGACAGTTGCTTCTTCTCAATATTGATCCCTAGAAAAACAGGAGGAAGCAAACATTTAGCCCGAAACTAAAGAGAGAGCACTGTGCGGAAAAGAGAAAGTATGGCGACCGATACCCAGAAATTATATAGAGTTAGGCTCAATGACTGCCGTCACAGTTTTCTCTAGTTATTTAATACCTACTGACAAGGAAGAGTATTACAGAAAAACTAAGAGGCTAATCGAGCTGACATAGAACTGCTAATTCCTTGGGCTGGTGATCCCACAGTTCTTTCTGTGAAATTTAGGTACCAGCAAGCTGAAAAGTACTCCGATCTCTTCGACGACTTTCACGGATTCTTCCTTACTGGTTGGCAAAGGTTAGACAGCAATGTGTAAAAAGGTTAAAGGGAGAAGCTTTCAGCATCGAGTTAATCCCCAAAGGATGCGTTCCAGATTCGACTTCATTCGTAGCATTATGGAAATGAGATTGAATGCATTTCCGGCATATATCGCGAATTGGGTTGGCCTACCAACGTATCGAGTTAGTGCTGCTTTCCTCTTGGACAGGTGTGGTATTATTTTGCCGATCCTGGAGGGACGGAAGGATTGGTGAATCCTCAGCACGGAATCGAACCAACGAACACATGTATATCACAGGGCATTCATAACCACTGCTCTACACGCCTCCTATAAGGCGCAACTATGTGTTCGGCTTACAAAGCTCTATTTTCTTCCAATTAACTCGATATTAAAGATGATTACTGGAAAACTTATGTGACATTTGTGTCACAATGCTCTGTGGTTTAAAAATTTGTTGTCTTTCTGCATTTCCCTTTTTGTTGTTACATTCATAAAACTTTTTAAGATATGACCACTTTGCTGCTCTATGTGAACTAATGCCAGTTTCCATGGCTTCGCTTGCTATCAACATAAGGCTTATCCATAACTATGCCATAACAGGTAAGTGTACGAAAAGCTACTTCCTGCTATTGTTGGAAAGGGTTAGGAAAGAATGTGGAAAATAGAGAAAAAAAGCATGGAAGAAGGATAAAAAAGTGAGTGCCGGAAACATAAGAAAGAACGTGAAGTCATTTCTGATTCATTTTCGAGAATAGGGCTCAAATTTGGAGTAAAATTCATCGGTGTACTTCCAGATAGCGGAGCAGAAATCATTATGAGGACGCTGAAGTGCCCTACGACGACCAATATCAACGAGCTGATTTCGGGTGACGACAAATGCCACTTCGCAGGTGAGAAGCAATCTCCTAGAATCATCAGATAAGTACGATTAAATCTTTCTGTACAATCCGCTATTTTCCGTTTGAACAGCTTGACTTCCTATATATAGCAGTGTTTGGTGTTCGTGTGTTCAATGTATACTTCAGGTTACAAAGTACGCGACTCAATTCGGGATTTTATGCTGTTAAAGCAACAGTACGATAATGCAACATGGATTCATAGAAGGTGAGCTGTGTAAAAGTGATGGACAATTGAGTGAGTAGAAAGAATCGCAAGTGAAACCATACACTTCGTAGTTGACTCTGTGCTTTTCGTTGTTTTAGAAGACCCGATATCACATGTTGCGTTGATCCCAGCACTTCTTGCATTCGACTCGTTTGCTTCCATCAACTATCCATGAAGATCTTCGAACCTTTTCGAGTGGATTCGGCTGTAGCTTAAGAATTTTTGTCTTCATCATGGATGCTGTTACACGTTGGTAGAGTCGACTCTCCTTGGAATCCATGCTAAAGCGCTTCCACATGTTCTTTGCGGGCAGTCGGCAGTATTTGTGGATTAGAAGGAGCCAAATGATTTCAGACAACTCTCGTACCAAGCCCCTGACCTCGGTGGCTTGATGAGCCCTGCTCAGGGAAAACTAGCACTTTGTTGGGACTGAACGACCATCACTACCATTGCTCTATCCGTCTGGTGAAAGAGACTTCGCAGCACAAATTCTCGATTAGCTAAAAGTTCAGAGCAATGATGTGCTAGAAAAAAAACTTAAGTAAAGGCAAAAAATAACAGACAGGTAACAATGTCATATTTTGCTCGGTAGATGTTATAAAGAAGAGTGTGCCTCAATGACTTTCGCAGGATAGGTTCTATATTAACAGCGTTCGTTCGCTCAAGTGTTTCGTACGTGGGAACATCAATAAACTACGGCATTGTTGTTAGGCCGAGTGACATTAAAAGTTTAGAGAACTTCTCACTTAATTGTAAGCTTTAATTTCACTTTCGGATAGCAAAATAAGACCAAGTGATTGCTAGCACCGTTGAAGTGATGCTGTTCATTACGTGGAATACCCAACCTACTTAATCAGTGGTTCAATCCCACACGAGGTCCTTCAAGCCACCATCCCTCCGTGGTGAGAAATTGCTAAAAGACTAGTCTGGGACAAATTTACTTCCTTTAATCGACGAGGAAACACCCTAGTATGGCCATCCCAGGATTCGAAGAAGTATCGACTTGATCACGATTCAACAACGTTCATGGAAAAAACGACAGCAGAACTCATGCGACGGTGGATGTGAGGAATCGAACCGAATGCCCTACGTGCTAGGATCCGCACGTGTGGTACATCTAATGCTGGGGAAGAACTACATTTTCAAGGGAACTTCTCCAAACAAGAGTTCTTTCAGAGAAGCGGCATATCTCCAACGATCTCAGATTCATCTTAACGCGAGCAATCCTTTTTATGTGGATGTAATTGGAAATTCCTATCGAAGATGGTTAAATCAATTGAATAAAATTATCGATCGACTACAGTAAGCTGTCGTTATTGTTACTGTGGTTCACGTAGTTGTCTTGTCATTATCATTCATTAAGATCCTCCATGAACGATCTATTTTACGAGGATGTGTTTATGGAATTTTTGACCGATCACATTACCCCGTTCTATGATGAACTCAAGGAAAGGTCCGTTTATAGCTAAGAATTAGAAATATGTTGTAAAATCTTCAATTTTAGGCTTACTAGTGTGGATGCCATCGATACGAAGAAGACTTATGGTGCTCGGCCGTGGTTTCGAAGATGACCATCCGTAATCTCTTCGTTTATATTGTAAATGTTGTAACGATGAAAGCATATGACTCTATTGAAATAAAGACATCCGAACTGATTTTTATTGCTTTCAATCTATTTAGATGATAAAAGCAGAACTTGTCTTTAACGGTGGTACAAGACAGGAGAGATTCTCTCAGTGTTCGAAGATAGACATCAACCACTTACCGAGAGACTTTCGTGGAAATTCAGCTTGATACTAGTTAGAGGAAACTGCACGGATTACACCTATTGGCGCTTTCCCTCGTAGTGAGTAGGACACCCGCTCAACGTATGAGAGATAAGGCACTCGCTGTCTCTCTTGTGTGACAACAGTTGCGCATTAATGCACATTTCGCCCTTTTTCTGACAATCAGCAAGGTAATAGTTGCACGAGCTTCTTATTCTACTGAGTCAGTGGAGCCCAGCGTCTAGGATACATATGCTTGACAACCACCTGACCCACGTTCGGACAGGATGAGCGAAGAAGTCTTTCGTGAACGTTGTCAAATGAGGCTAAACAAGTAATCTGTGGGTTCTTCAAAACTGGTAGGCCATTGAGACTTCGAGGCATCATTAAAACCAACGCACTATCTGGTAACTGCTTTCCTCAATGAGCAAACACGAGGTTGTTACTAGAGGATTTACCTATACGCAACAGCTGACATTTTGCTTGTTTCGCTTTCTTCAGAACATGGAAAGGTCAAATCGACAAGCAGTCGATCTACTCACCTAAAAACTCACAACTTTAACAGATAAGACATAACACATAAATTTGCATTCCTATGATAAACAACTTCTTTTAAATGCCCACTGTTTCTTTGTTTGTAAGTCTTTCAGTTAATTGCCGGAGAGGAGCTGCACTGCGTATTACATGAACGAGAAACGTGCCTGGCTCAGCCCAGAGAATCACCCTGAGATATGGCGCGATTTTAAGCCTAATCACAATGGACTCCTCGTTGCGGTTCACTTCTGGATTTTTGGAATCTATCCAAAACCCAAAAGGGTGCGTGTGGGGCACTGGTCGAAGGCACCTTGCAACACACACGTGGAATCGATCACCGCGCCCATGGCCCACCAAGCCTTCCATCCCTCCGGGGTCGGCATATTGGTAACCGTCGCATGAAAATGGTATAGCGTATGAAAAGGAGAACGGTTCCAACGACTCAACATAAGCACATTGCACGTGCAATCCAGTGAATAGGCAGACAGCATTCTCCATAGAATGCTTTCTCTATACTGGGTGATAGCACGAAATCCTTCTTTCGAAGCATGATCACAAAGTCTATAGAAAGTGAGAGGAGCTCAATAATTAGTAACAGTTAGTTGCTTTTGGGGCGGAGATAACCCAGTGGTTAGTGAAGCAGTTGATCAGTGAGCAAAGGAGCTAGCTCAATCCCCGCCGCTCTCCTCCAGTCCACTTGGGAACCTTTTAGCCCGACTGTCTCTAAGAATGGAGGCTAGGCTCGACCATCGTTCTACGACGTTCATAAAGAAGACGAAATCTTCAAGCAGCAACCCAAACAACACCCAAAATTTTCGAAGACCGTTGGGAATGATCAATGAGGGAAAAACTAACAAAGTGCGAGAACTCCTGGGATGCTCACAGTGGATGTGATAATGGGTTATGTGAAATGGGAAAAAATATGTTGCTTTTCTAATGGTACTGTCTCAGGTGGATAGCAATCCAGCTGCTAGTTCCTCAGTGTCTTGGTTTATGCGTAAGCTTCCACAACGTTGTATTTATTGTGGATAACGCTCCAGTGCTTTGGCCTTCTTGAGAGCTGCAATGATTCAACCCAACCAGTGGAGTTTTTCGAGCTCCTGAATGCTCTAAAAATTATACCTTGTTCGTCATGACACATCAAGGACGGGTGTAGTGCAGTGGTTAGAGGTGCCCTACAATAGGTGTGGGGGCGTTGGTTCTCTCCAGCACCCTAGACTCACCAAGTCTCCCATATCTCCGAGGTCGAAGAATTGGTATCAGATTTGGTTGGGAGGATAGCAGAACTGACTTGATACATCGGAAAACCAATGGAAGTCAATACACAAACCAGATATGGATTAGGTCATCTCAACCTTCCATGGATTGAACAAACCCGAACGCTTTATCTTTCAGCTTTTCCTATTCATGAGAGCGCCAACACACATCTCTTTCAGTTCGAACTTTCAAGCCGACTGGACTGAACGTATTCTCTCGATAGGTAAGTGCCGCGACACTGGCATGCAGTGCCACTTCATGCGCTTCAAGCTCAGTCGTTCGTTCTTAACACTCAGCTGTTGTCTAGCAACTGTGTATTTCGGCTAATAAAAGAGCAATACTTCTCTCCTTGTGTGCCAACAAGGCACGTTAACTTATTCTACTTATTTACTTGGATAATTGGATGGTCCGTCCTCACGTGTTGTGCGGTCCCTTGCATAATTTCCATTATTTCGGAGTTTCGCCGGTTTAGCCATTGTGTTTCCCTGGAGTCCCGAGGTCAGCCAGGCCAAAGTCTGGCCTGGTCGTCACCACCACAAGCAGCCACCGCCCTTGTGGATCAGAAGAAGATTTGCCATCATGCGACTAGTTTGATACCAGGACGGTTGTGGATCCTGGTATTGGTGACTTATTAACTTGATTCTCGTTACTTACTTTAACACAGTGAAATCCTATCCTCCAAATATTCCAAATATTCATACAGTAATACAGAATCTAGCTTCAATGGTGCTGAGATATTATAACTCGTATGAAATGCTGAGATATTTGCAAAACTCCGGACCACAGGTGTATGCAGTGGAGAACGAACACGCGCTGTTGTCCTTACCGGGGAGCAGCGCACTTCACCACTACACCATCTGGGTCCTTCGCTTTGCATGTCTCTCAGCTAATTCTATCGATCTTTTGCCATCAGCAATTACCCGTCAGAGGGATTGAATCTTTCTCCGCGGATCATTTTTTCTTTTGTTCTCTCCGCCACGACGGGAACTTGGTGCAATACTGCGTCATTGCGGACGGGACGGTTACAGCGTCATCGTTAAATATTTTATTGTTCTTCTTCCGCTGAACCAGCACTGTTTTGAGCCTTAGTTTAAAAAAAAAACCCTGGAGCAGAAGCATTGTAGAAGTTTGTAGGTACCAGTAGAGCGATAGAGAAGCCTTCATTACTAGTTTCTCAAATAATTTAGATGCCCTACTTACCAAAGAATTGGCGAGATTGTAAGGAAGGAAAAGTCTCAATAGCCGTGGTGAACTCCGATCAAGAATGGAACTACCAATTATGCACTGACAAAGAAGCTGGTCTGAAAGCCATGAACACTGAGGAAGTTAAGTCGAAGTGACGACTGCGATTGCCGTTGTGCATTTCTCCCTTAAGGACCTTCGTCAGTTATTAACTGTACTTCATGTCCGGATGGATCCTCATTCGATCTCCATCCAATTATTTCTGAAGATCCATTCATGAGCCCCTCGTCTCCTTCTAAGTGATGGACTCCTTGGTTTTCAACCATAAGTGGTTAGCGCTCAGTGCGTCGTCCGAGTTGACCTTGAGGAGTTTCGAAATTGGAAGTCCCACCCACTCCTGGTCAACGTGTGTTTCTCCTTTACGCTATGAAAGCATCTTTCACCCAGTGGGATGATATTGGGTTTATGTGACAGCTTGCTATGCTCCACTCTCTACCCGTTCTTGTCCAATGTTTCGCCATTGTTCCTGATTTTGTCACTTTGAGTTATTCGTACTGCTCACAGTACTTCAGACATGGTAGCAAAAACAGTAACGAAGGCATCATCTTCGGTTGTCACCGTTGACGCTCTCCAGAAAGAAACAATCACTGAGGTATTTATTTAGTTTGTTCTTGTATTAGGCTCGACTGGGTATGACGTATTTTGTGAATCCCATTGCTTCTTTGGATTCGTTTGCTCTCATCCATCATCCACAAAGGTTCTCGTACTTTGCTTGTCGCTTCGGCTGGTGTTTGAAGATTACCACTGTACTTCTGAAATAGGCGCGCTAAAGTGTTCCCGGATCATCGTCATAAGTAGTCACCAGTTTTTTGTGGATTTGAGAATGCGTGTTTATGTCAGTCAAGTTTGGTAGCAATTTAACGACCAAAGAAAGATAAGGGAGTTGGTTGGCCTGGAACCCAATATCGAGTCGGGCCCTTGCGCGTTCGGACGGTGTCATTACCACTGCGCTACCCATGCCTCTCACATTGTGAAATTACTGAAGAACAGTAATTTTATTGTTTCAGTAGTTGAAGTTCAGTCTATGTATCTCGCCGCTTGCTGCTGCTTTTAGTTTTATAGAATGATCTTTAAAAAAAGAAGGATAAAAGGACAGAGCTCTCGGCGTTGGTCAATCCTTGAGGGATGCCCCATGCATTCGACTTCATTAAGAATCGTTGGAGGTAACTGATTGCATATCTGGCCTTTACAATAATTCACGGTGACCAACCAATGTATGGAGCCAGTGCTGCTTTCCTCCGAGACAACTTTGGTACCAATTTGCCTACTCCGGAGGGATGGAAGGCTTGGTGAGCCTTGGCCACAGAGATCAATTCCACGTGTATGTTGCAGGGTGCCTCTGACCGCTGCGCTACACTCGCACTTGAATAGTCCTTTAGTGTTATAAATGGTGACTAGTTGTTTTCGATTAAGAAGCTTACTAATCCATAGGTCGCCTTCAAATTCTGGGCGCCGTTTTCGAAAAGCCACGCTCCGTACTCTGCCCCACTAGTGGATACAATTTACCAACACGAAATGCTCGGTACGCATTTCAATCCGAGGAAAATCATTATGTTAGAATTCAGGTGCGTTTTAAACACTAGTGAAGCTTAAAACTGCTTGAAATCACAGTGTTAACTTTTTATTTGCTTCTTGCTACAATTTCCCACGGCAGGGAATTATGTGAAGTACAGTCTTAATGACGCTGGGATATTAGCAAAACTGCGGACCGCATGTGTTTGAGGTGGAGATCGAACAACCTATTACGCCTTCGGGGGCAAACGCGAACGCGTTTACCATCATGCCATGCGGGTCTGTCGTCTCGCCTGCCGCTCTACTAACTGGGTTCAATGCCAATGTGGGCTCCCCAGATCAATCCTGTTGACGAGTGATTGCTGATGGCACTGGTAGATAGGAAATTAACCGAGGGACAAGCGAAGCAAAGGACCGGCATGGTGTGCTGGTGGATTTGTTATCCCTCGGAAAAGGGTAATAGCGCGTTCTTTCCCCACCGCAAGCACGTGCGGACCTGAAACTAGTCTTTTTAAAATCATTTTTATCACTGCTAACAGCTTTGAGTTATTAGTTTGTTTTAGCTAATGACTTATAGTGAGTATTGTTTCTAGTCAGTACCTTGAATGCTACCTATGGCCAAACTACACTGAAGAAGCAAGTACAGCTCATGTTATGTCCATTGTGGTCATGTTGAATGAGAAGTTTAGAGAGCGCATCGATGCTTGGCAGGTAATGCTTTCACAGATTTATGTACTAATTTTGGACACTTATTATTTGACTGTTTAGTGCTTCCAAGAATTTAAAAATGTGTTACCCTCTGCAACTCCAGTTCTTCTGCTATGGAGTGGTTAAGCTCGAACATTTTGATTTTATCGCTGAGAGACAGGCGAAACAAAGGACCCGCATGGTGTGGTGGTGAACGCGTTACTCCCCGGAAAGGACAATAGCGCGTTCGTTCTCCACCATAGACACCTGCGGTCCAGAGTTTTGCAAATATCTCAGCAACGTTGTGGTTGTATTTCGCTTAGTACCCTGCCGCGAAATTATAGCAGGCAGAAAATAAAAAGGTATATCATTTTGATTTTACTTAGACAATTGCTTTAGTGCTTTGTGAATAAGCCGGAACACTTTGCTTCATTTATACATCGAGTTTTGGAGTTATCCCTTGATGAAAATGATCGGAGCAACTCAGAACAATGTGCTATTGTCACTTTTCTTGTGAACAGCTTTAACTCTGTGGTAAGTTACATTTTTTTGGAATTGACTTACCTACTGATGTCATTCTAAGTCCTATCATTTTAGGAAGTTGATATTGTTCGGGAACAAATGAGTAAGTTAACTCATATGTCAATCTGGATGAATATATTGCCTAGTCAAAGGAATGACTTGATTGCTGGAAGCAAGGTGATGTTGTACATTTAATTCGTTCTAGTGAAACTCCTTTATATATGAAGTTCCTCCACACCTGAATTGTTATTGGTATATGACTTACTTGGATACTTGGATGCTCCGTCTTCAGTGATTATTCTGGCTCCAGCATAATTTCATTTTTTAGGTGTTTTGCTGGTTTTTCCATTGTGGTGCTCCGGAGTCCCAGTCATATCCTTCACTCCGAAGGTCAGCTTGGCCAAAGTGTCTCAGGTCCTCATCACCACAGGCAGTCGTCCTCTTGTTCATCAGAGGGAGATTTGACACCATGCGACTAGTTTGATACCTGAACGGTGGTGGATCTCGGTATTGGTTTACTCTTAGCTGGGCTTCCAGGTTGAAACGTGATACTTTTTCTCAGCTTGGTAGACCTTGCTAGGGAGATAAATTCCCTCGCTGTACATTGCAGGCCGACACTCAGGAACACCTCTCAGCCACGATGAGGCGGTAGACCATTGAGAGGATTGTTACACTACAAACATAGAAGTGACGGCTGTGCTGTAGTGATTTAAAATTGCTCTCCTTGTTATCAAAATGGTTGTGAAAAATTTACACAACCTATTTGCTATCAAAAGGGAGCTTCTGTTTGTTAAAGACTAGTTTCTCGTTTAGAAGTTGCGTAAATACTGGTCAAAACTTTCACAAAAAATCGCGGCTGAAGATGCTGAAGATAGTAAAGAATCTCGCCTTGCAAAATTTCAAAGAAACTATCTTTGGAATCTCATTGCTCGTTTTAAACGTACTTTGGATCGTGTGGACGACGATAGTAAAGGTTATATTCCACTTTTTTTCCGATTGGTGTTCTTTAGTACTAATCACGCTTATATGTTAAGAAGTTGACCTTGAAGACATACGATACTGTGAACGATTTATTGAGCTTGTGATTGACTTGGAAGCCTTGCTTCCAACGAGGTCTGTGAATTTGAAGTCTGTTTTTTTCTTTTTGCTAGAGAGCTTATAACAAAATGACTCACAACGCTCCACTCCAATTCACAAATTCTGAGCTCCTTTTCCGTCATGGGTCATTGATCTAATAATAAATTAGAAACTTACTAGCTAATCTGTTTTCAAGCTATGCAAGTTATTATGCAGGGCGAATTCCGGTTCACATCTTCGGAATTTTAGAAATCGGATCCAACATTTCAGGCGATTTTTCAATGCACTGGTGCATTCTTCAAAGCTTATCACTCATTGTGTGCTCTCAAAATTGATTTCGTCCGAAGCTGGATCGTTGTTTTGTCAACTGGTGGAAATGCTAAAGTTCTATGCTCGATTTGAAATCAACGATATTACTGGGCAGCAACTCACTCACAAGGAGGTGCACTTATTCACGCCATTGCTTACTTTTGGAAAAGTCTTTGAGTTTTTTCGGCAGTTGGAAGGCAGTTATTTCGATTTTTATAGTGAGAACTCTCACTTTAACTCATCGTTTTTTATAGGTTTCTGATAAACATTACGAACATGTTGTCAAGCTGCAGAAAGCTGCTTTTAAGTATTTCAGGTATGGTTCTTTTCGTTGTTAGAACCAGCTCAGCTACCATTCTGGAACACTATCGCAGTGATGCTGAGTTATTCGCAAAACTTAGACCCTGGCCCAGGTCGAACCACGATTACCTTTTCGTGGGCTCGCGAATTAACAGTGCACCATGGACGCCATTGCGTTTCGTTTCTCTCAGCAAGTTTTCTGCCTAACTGCTGCCATCAGCTGAGAGAAAACTGAGTCACTAGAAAACTTCAGTAGAGAACTAGCTGAGAGGGGTAATCGTGGTTCGATCTTGCCGGAGAACAAGTTTTGCGAATATCTCAGTATCGTTGTGATTGTGTTGTAGTAAGCAGAAAATAAGCGGTTAACATTTTGGGATAATGTTTAATTGTTCTACAAAACTCTAATTTTAGAGATAGTATGCCTGACTTTTATCTTCTAAGCGTTGGTAGCGTGGACACAAGAAAAGCGTTACTGAAGCAGTTCAATTCGATGAAGTAGGCTATTTCAGTTTTCATCTGCGTAAGAGAATTTGATAAAGCGAGCTTTTCCAGGAAGTCTGATATCTATCGATTCGCCGAGTATCTTCACCTTGTACCTCCAGCGGATAGCGAGAATTCACAATTGGAAACGTTAAGTAAAGAATTCCTCACCGAGACTGTTGTAGGTCTAATTCTGTAAAGTACTCTATCAAATGGGCGTGCTACAATACTTTGGTGACAAACTGGTTGTCGAAGACAATTTCGGGTTACCATTTATATTCAAGCAAAAGCAGTTTGTGTTTTCAAGACCCTTCACTGTGAGCGACGAGTGAATCAGCTTCAACAACTTAACGAGCAGCCACTGTATCCTACGGAAAAGGTTATTTGGGACGAGAATGTTGTTCCATATGAAAACTATTCTGGCGAAGGTCAGATAGTACTCTTCTGAGTTTGTGTTTTCAATTGAAAAGGTGTAATGCTTATTTTGTTGTTCCTTTCCTTTGGAGGCAGATCAATTTTCTAGGTGTTCTTGCATTGAACAAGCTAAACTTGCAGTTCTTGACCTTGCATGATTATCTGTTGAGGAATTTCAACCTTTTCCAGTTGGAGTCAACATGTAGGTCTTCATCCTCATCTCCTCACATGTAGAATATCGATATTAACGTTTTTGTGGTTTACTCTAACTGATAGTAAGAGAAACCACTTATTCCTCCATTATTCTTTTAGATGAAATTAGGCAAGACCTTGAGGATGTGTTGTTCCGGATGAAGCCATGGCAGCATGAAACTCGCAATGAAACTGTATGGGGTGGATGGGCACGTATGGCTCTACTTCTGGATTCTTTTCAGATAGTAGAGGTAGTTTTTGGCCTTTAAATCGTTTTCACTGGTATATTTACCTATTATTTTCTTGGAATATGAAAGATTCACTAATTTAATAAAGAGAGCTTAGCAATTGTGTTTGTTAAACACTTAATAAAAACCTTGTATGTAGATATCTAAGGGCGCGTGTAGCGCACAGTGCTCGGAGGTTTCCTGCAATACACGTGGGATCGGTTCCCGCACCCCCAGCTCACCAAGCCTCCTATCCCTCCGGGGTCGGCAAATGGGTACCAGACTCGTCTGGGAGGATAGAAGCACTGGCTCGATACATCGGTGTGCCACCGCGAGTAACTGTAAAGACCAAATATGCACTTAATCACCTCCAAACGATGCTTAATGAAGTCGAATGCTTGGCGTAGTCCTTCATCAACACGGAAGGCTTTATCCTTTTTTATTTATGTAGATATCTAATAGATGCGCAGCCCTCACGCCAGCACCGTATTTTAAAATTATGTTTTCTTATTTTCGCCAATAGTTCATGTGCTTTTTTCATGTGGGCAAACCACTAGTGGGTGAGAAGAGTCCAGCCGTTGTTAGAGGCGAGTTCTCCGTCAACGTTGGCCGTCGTGCAGATATAAAGCAGGAGTGGGAAAGTGAGATACTTTTTGTGCCATATTTTATATCACAGCATTCTTGCATGCTTTAGAAGAATATTTGGATGGCACTGAGATATACATAGGGATTTGGTCGTCTAATTTTTGTGGTTCTCTCAAAACGCTATTTCTTTCACATGGGAGCTTAGTCTATAATGCGGTTTATGTTATGGCGCGAAACACTTTTTCATTAATGGAAATATCGACGTTTAATCAATCTGATGTTCAGTGGTGCTTAGGTTTACGGAAGCACGATGTTTGTTTTTTGGTAACTTGTCGCTCTACTCAGCCAGTTGGGACGAAGTATGATGTTCGAAAGCCATTCAAAGATCAAATTCAGGTGCAAGCGTTTCCTATAGAGTTTGGCTGTTCGTTGCAGCTTTTCTAAAAGCGTTTCAATTTAAAGAACTGAAACGAAAAATCATTTAAGGTGACCTATGTGCGTGGATGTGAGATAGAAGGGATGATGGATCAAAATGGTCAAGTGATCGAAGAATTTGGTAAGAGGCCTATAGTTTTAACAAATCACGATTCTAGACATTTTTTATTCTCAGGATTTTCTGTAGGTATTTACAGAAGCGTATGAGAAGAAACCTCAGATCCAAGGCGATATACGAAAATATCGCGTTTTCTTGGATCCTAATCAGTACAGAATTGATATGGAGAATCGGTTTGAAAAAGGAGCGGAGGTGATGATTTCTACCCGATGTTTTGAATTTTTCGCGGTTGGCTTACTGGCGTATTTTGATGTTTGCTGGTGTGAATGTCTATTTTTTAAAACGTTTGCAGGATATTTACTACACCTTCAATTTGGTCGTTCGACGTGATCCAAAGACAAACAACTTTAAGGCAGTGCTGGCAACTATGCGACAGTTGTTGAACACTGAGTGTGTTGTTCCAGACTGGCTTACCGATATAGTACTTGGTTATGGCGAACCCAACTCGGCTCATTACACGAAGTAAGTACAAATAATATTCTTTAGCTAACATTTGCACTTGCGATTACTCGGGTACTCAAATGGCCCATCTTCACTAGTTACGCGTGCGACAGCATAATTTCCATTTTTTCTCGAAGTTTCGCTGGTTTAGCCATTGTGATTCTCTTGAGTCCAGTGGTCAGCGTGGCCAAAATCTGCTCCAGATCGTCACTACAACAATCGGTTGCCGCCCTTGTGGATCATAGGAAGATTTACCAGTATGCGACTTTGATACCAAAACGGTGGCGGATACTGGTATTGGTTTACTCCTAGCTAGGCTTCCTGATGGAAACGCCGGACTCCTTCTGAGCTTGGGAGACCCTGCCAGGGAATGAATGCCCCGCCGTACATCGCAGTCCGACATCCAGGAACACATTCCAGCCACGATGGGGCGTTAAACCATTGGGACGGCACGTGTGGTTTGTTACCGATAAATCGGACTAAGATCAATCTGCACCGCATTGTTTCGTGAGCTTCATGAGAAGTTTTTTCTCATTTTCTTTGGTCATACATGGGTTCTATTTGTGTTCGATAATACACATTGTTATTAGAAATACATATTTGTACAAACCATTGTAGGCTTAGTAGATCTGGTGATCCACTTTTTTGTGGAATATCGTTATAATAGAAGATCTGTTCCAGTTTTGTTAAACTGCAAAGTCTTTTTTGAAGAGAATTAGTACAGTTAGTGTCATATTCATATTGTAGGATGAACAATGTTGTGCCTTCGATGGACTTTAATGACACATTCCTATCGTTCGATCACTTAATTGAATCATTCCACGGCTATCAGGTGAAGGCAATGGCTGAAAGGGAGAAAATGGTCCCGCCGTTCCTGTGAGGTCAAATTATATTTTGAAATTATTCCCTAAACTTTTTAAACTAGTGGATTTGCAGGTTGAAATTTAATGATCTTATTCGCGATGGCGAGAACGAAGGTGAGAAAGTTATAGAAGTAACACCACTGGTTCGTAATTCTCGAACACCGTATCCATGTCTTCCGAAGAAAAATCAAGTGCGGTTCACTCCCGCCCAAGTGGAAGCCATTAAGGTTTTACTTATTTCATTTCTGAGCTACGTCATTTCCCTGTTGTCTCAAGTACGAGAGAAATATATTTTGTACCTTTTACCTTTTGTATATCTTGGGATGTTCGTTCTTCGAACCAAATTAAACGTGCAGAATATGCTGTATCTGGACTTTACAGGCTGGCATGGAGCCAGGATTGACGATGGTTGTTGGTCCTCCAGGTACTGGTAAGACGGACGTAGCTGTGCAGATAATCGCGAACATATATCATAATTGGCCACAACAGCGGACGTTGATCGTTACACATTCTAACCAGGCATTGAATCAATTATTTGAGAAAATCATCGCGCTTGATGTTGATGAGAGACATCTTCTTCGAATGGGTATTTTTTGTGGATTCGTTGTAATTATCCGTAATTGTAGTATTTAACATCCTTTCTACGTTAGGTCATGGTGAGGAAGGCTTGGAAACAGAGAAAGATTTCTCGCGTTACGGCCGTGTAAATTATGTGCTGAGAGAAAGACTTAGACTACTGTCCGAGGTAAAGCAAGTTTATCTGTATCGTATTTGGTCAGAGGGCCTTGGTTCTGCTTTTTCTTTTTTCTAAGTGAGAATTTTGAATATGTGCTTCAATTTCCTGGGAAAGAAATGATGAGACCTCCTCACTGACATATTTTACAGCTTAAATCCAAATTTCTAAACTAGACGATCTAATTACTCTCCTCCTAACGGTATCAGGAGGTATTCTTGGGTGTCGTGTGTAAAGGGGGTGGGGTGAGGGGGGGGGGGGGGGGGTGATTCATCTCCCAGCAGGGCTACCCAAGCTGATTATAGGAAGTCTGGCGTTTCCACATAGTTAAGAGTAAACCAATACCAGGATGTGTCATCGTCTTGGTATCTCTTGGTACCAAACTAGTCGCATGGTGGCAAATCTCCTTGTAATCCACATGGGCGGTGCCTGCCTGTGGTGGTGACGATCTGAAGTAGACTTTGGCCTATCTGACCCTGGGACCTTGGGACTCCAGGGAACCACAATGGTTAGGGCAGCAATACTCCCAAAAATTGGAAATTGTACTGGGATCCGCACAACTAGTGAAGACGTGCTGTCTAAGTATCCAAGTAAATAAGATGTTCTAATTACCAACAATTTCGTCATTCAGGTTGAACGCCTTCAGCAGGCGATGAACGTCATCGGTGACGTGTCATACACGTGCGAAAACGCTGGACACTTTTTCCGGTTTAAGGTAAACTTATAATGCCTGTCAGCAAATATTAATACCTTGTTTTTCTGTTTAAAAATGCTTTTGTACTAATGACTTTTTTGTATCTTAGTTGAAAAAAGTTTTCAAATCTTCCACAAAATATTTTGAGGAGTGAATATGGGCCATCGAAAGAGATTTCAAACTTCTGAAGCTTGATTATTACCTGTGTTTAATTTAGGTTTGTTAATCTCACGCCCTGAATGAAACGAGCAGTTTAGATTTAGAAGTTTAGAAGAGTTTAGATTTAAGAAATGATGTGATTCATGGGATAAGAATTTTTTGAGGTTTGTCGTGTTTGGGACGAATTTATCGAGAAATGTGCGGTGGAGAAGAATGGTTTAGTCGCTGAAATATTTCCATTTACGGGATATTTCTCAGATATTAATCCGCTATTTAGTGTAAGTGCAGTTGTTACTTTTAGTTATATTTTCTGTTTTCGCCGACCAATGATTTTAGGGCGTACATGCATCGGACATAGAAGTCGCTCATAGTTGCTGGCGTCATATCAGTCACATTTTCGAGCAACTAGAAGAATTTCGAGCATTTGAACTGCTGAGGAACGGGCGTGATAGGACAGAATATCTTTTAGTATGTATGCTTCTAACTACAAAATAAGCCGCTTCTGAAAGTGTGAATCGCTTTTGCAGGTGAAAGAAGCGAAGATCATCGCCATGACATGCACCCATGCCGCACTAAGACGAAGTGAACTCGTAGAACTTGGATTTCGTTATGATAACATTCTAATGGAGGAGGCGGCACAAATCCTTGAAGTGGAGACGTTTATCCCCTTGTTGTTGCAGGTAGGTTGAAAAGTTAGCGTGTTTTCTGAACATTTATGTGATCTCTGTTGTGTTGTAGAATCCACAAGACGGTAGAAATCGTTTGAAGCGTTGGTGTATGATTGGAGATCATCATCAGTTGCCACCAGTTGTGCAGAATCAGGCGTTCCAGAAGTATTCTAACATGGAACAATCGTTGTTCGCTCGGTTTGTCCGACTTGGTGTGCCAAACGTTCAACTGGATAAGCAAGGAAGAGCAAGAGCCGAGTAAGTTTGTAGTTTGCTCTGTTGTCGTTGCCATGGCGTTTTAGAAAATATTTTTTCGAACGAAATTTTTTAGTCAAATCTGAATTTAAGTTTTCTTACCTACTTGGATACTTGGATGGCCTGTCCTCACTGGTTATGCGGGTCTCAGCATAATGTCCATTTTCCGGAGAGTTGCTAGTTTAGCCTTTGTGGTTCCCTGGAGTCCTGAGTACAGTCTTCCCTTCCCTTCCCAAAGTCTTCCCTACGTCGTCACCACCAAAAGCAGTCGCAGCCTTTGTGGACCAGAGCGAGGTTTGCCACCATGCGACTAGTTTGATACTAGGATGGTGGTGAATTTTAGTATTGGTTTACTCTTAGCTAAGCTTCCTAATGGAAACGCCGGTCTCTTTCTCCGCTTGGGACACCTTGGGAGGGGATGATGAATCCCACCGTTGTACATCACAGTCCGATACCCAGGAACACCTCTGAGCCAAGATGAGACGGTAAACCGTTGGAGATCAATTCCTCTTACTCCTAACTATATCGAATAATTACTTAACAGTTTTCAGTACACTTCTTTGATTCCTAGCTTTATTTCCTACTGTGGTTTGCGTTTTAATGATTACTTCCGGGGTAGTCTTTATCAATTTTTACTCTTCTTTTTTTTGTTTTATTAATGTAATGTTGCTGGTGGTGTTCCACTAACGTTTACTTTTAGAATTGCTGCGTTATATAGTTGGCGCTACAAAAATCTTGGCAACCTCCCACATGTAGAAGCCTTACCTCAATTTCAGGTTAACGTTTAGCTAACAACTTCTTTTTGAATTTCATGGCTTTTTTCCCGTCAGTTTATTTTGCTACGGTACTACTGTTTATACTTAAGTACGCAAACGCTGGTTTCGCCTACAATTATCAATTGGTCGATGTACCAGACTTCAATGGGCAGGGAGAATCGCAACCAAGTCCTTATTACTATCAGGTCTGTGTTAATGAATGCTAATGAATGCTATTCTTTATCCTATATACACATATAACGTATGGGTGCGTGTGGTGCAGTGGTCGGATGCGCGTTGCAGGACACTTGGGATCGATTCCCGCGCCCTTAGCCCCACCAACCCCTCCATCTCTCGGGGTGAGAAAATTGGTACCAAACTTGTCTGCGAGAACAGCAGCGCTAGCTCGGTACGTCGGTAGTCCACCGCGAGTCGTTGTAAAGGCCAGATATGCATTCAGTCATTCTCAACGATACTTAATGGAGTCGAATGTATGACACTTCCCTCAAGGGTTGGTTAACGTCGAGAGCTTTATTTGTCCTTTATATACACATATATGTACATACATATTATATATGTATGTGCATATGCATATATGTATTTACTTGTATATGTATGTATCATAGAATCTTGGCGAGGCCGAATATGCTGTGGCATTGTTCACGTATATGCGTATTATTGGTTATCCAGCAGAGAAGATCTCCATAATTACTACTTATAATGGGCAGGTTAGTTACTCTTCTGTGCTGAAAGATTTAACTTAAACCAAAACACAAATTTTAGGCTCAGTTGATTCGTGATGTAGTTGAGAGGCGTTGTGCAAATAATCCACTTATTGGTTCACCAGCAAAGGTATGCGCTTTTCTTTGTACATTCGGCCGCTTTTCATGGAAATGATGTAGTGATGTCTCTTTTAGGTATCCACGGTTGACAAGTACCAAGGCCAACAAAATGACTATATAATTCTTTCACTAGTGCGGACCTACAATATTGGCCATATAAGGTATTTGGAGTACGATTGAAGTTTGTTGTCTGGGTGTAATATTTACGTTTTCCGAGCACTGGGCATGCGCAGTAGATTAATGAGGGGTGGGGCATTCTTCGACTAAAGTCGTTAATTTCGGATACATTTATTCCAAGTTCACAAATTCACATCTTATACTTGAATATGCTGTTTCAGAGACGTTCGCCGGTTAGTAGTAGCTTTGTCTCGTGCTCGTCTCGGTCTTTATGTCCTTTGTCGAGCTAGTCTGTTCCGCAACTGTTTCGAACTCACACCGGCATTCAATATCGTGCGTCATTTTCTCACTAGATTTCCTATTATAAGCTATTCGCCTTTTTTTTAGTTGTGCAAGCGACCTCCTCATCTACTCATTATTCCGAGTGAGGCATATCCGACTCAAAGAAAGGTTTGGACTGTATTTCTTTAGAATTGTTGCAAAAACAATTTTCCAACCTAAGTTTTATACTCTTTTATAGTCGGTTCTATATTTTGGGATTGCATTCGTATGAAACACTTGGACACTTCCACTGTGTGAGTATTCTTCTCATGACAAAGTGCTTTTGCGAATCTCTTTTTTCCACATGATAAAGTCGTATCCAGGTGAAATCGTTTCGTTAATATGCCGGCTGCAAACCATGGAGTAGAGAGGCGAGGTTGTAGGATCTGGTTAGAGACGACGTGGTGGTTAACAGATGTGTTTGCAAGGAAGTCTGCGCCGTCAACATTTTTGACAAATTTTTTCTCTACAGTTAGCCGAGGTCGCGCCATCTTATTAGCATTTGAGCGACTTCCTGTTTGTTGTCTCTTTTAGGACAACGGCTTGGAATTTTTTGTATCTTGCGGTCTCAAGAAGAGCGTGAGCATTTTCCTCTGAAAAGAGTAGGGTATTAAGTTAATGGATCTTTTCATCAGAAATAAGGGTTGGATATGTCTTATAAATATGGAAAGATTCATTGCAGAACATGCAGGATACGTTGAACTTAAGAAGCAAAACGTGAAATGAAAACACATAAAAGTTGTGGAAATGGTGCGACAAATGCGTCATCATGGGGTTGCTTACTATTTTTACTATTATTGCGATTATTCTTATTATTATTATATTGTTTTTCGCATAGGAGGTGGGAGGAGGACAAAATATATTGTCCGAACCACTTATATTTTCCATCCTGTGCGGCGAGAAATAAAATTGTCTTTCGAAATAAATTGAACGCCGTTGTTGTTAATTAAAAATAAAAAGCAACTAACACAGACATCTATTAAATATAGGTGATCAGTGTTTATACCTATATTGTTTTCATACCTAGTGTGGTGAACGTAGTGATGGTGAGCTGATATCCATCGAAAATACAATCCACATGTCAACGTTCGTACACGACTTCTACATGAGTAATATGGAATCGATGCGAGCGAGCTACGAGCAGGCAATGGAACGCTACCGTCGTGAGATACAAGTTCGTTGCATAGATATATCTCTAACATAGATGTCTACCGCATAAGTATCTGAACGCATTGATTTAGATGCACCTTTTTCGACTCATTGTTTTTCGCAATGAGTTTCTTTGCTGTACTTCTGATGTTCAATTCGTAGATTAACTAAGACATGCTGTGGCAAGCATAACTCATGGAAAGCCATTCTCTACACTTAATATTTGACAAGTAATCCTTTTTGGATTAATTTTCCAATGCACAACGAAAATATAGTCCCATGCAACCGCCGTGGAAATTACAAGTACTACTCGCCTATGTACCTGTAAAGGCCTAAGGACGCATGTGGCGCAATGGTTGGAGGTGCCCTGCTATACGCATGACATCGATCTCCGCTCCTCTGGCCCACGGAGCCTTCAATCCCTCCGAGTTCGGCAAATTGCTACCAAATCTGTTTGGGAGAATAATAGCACTGGCTCGATAAATCGGTGAGCCACCACGAGTCGTTGTAAAGGCCAGATATGCATTCAGTCACCTTCAAGCGATGCTTAATGAAGTGGAATGCATGGCGCGCCCATCGAGGAGTGATGAACGCCTAGAGCTTTGTCCTCTACCGTTTTTACTCACCTATGTGCTAGTTAAAAGTTTTTGTGAGCTCACTGGAACGTGTTTAAATTTTGGACACTTCTGATGAGTGTTAAGTCTACTGAAACAGTTACTGTGATTTTGATTCGCATGCTTAAGTGTGGAAAATGGTTCTTTATATTATGCATCTTAATTTTGACTTGAATCATTGAGTTATTCTGCAGTTTTTACTAGAATGAACTTTTATGCGTCTTCTTCAAACGAAGGTTAGTTGAAATCGTGTAAAAAATCTATGTTGTATTGCTTATTGTTTTATACTGTAAAGTCTCTGTGTCTCTGTGGTACGAATGTCTTTTTAGAAGTTGGCTCCACCGGCTGAGACGGAACCTGAAGTTCCAGGTGCTGTACGGGAAGCAGAAGATAACAAAGCGAAAATCAGTAAGGATCAAGAGCAAGAATCGGATATTGTGTTTGAGAGCATGGACTTCGAAAGGCTCGAAGAAGTACCGAAGTATTGAAGTTGTTGAAACGAGTCGTCGATCTCTTTTATCTCTGGAGTAGTCTTTGTTACTTTGTATAAATAGTTCCATGTCCCACTGAACTTTTGTAGAGTTGGAGTTACTGGCTGTAGTCTCAGCTTTCTATTTTTGGACCTTCCTTATGGTTTCTCTAATATTATATTAATCCGTCAATATTACCGTGATAACTTCTTTTTAAGGAAGTAAAGTTTTTACCTACACATATTCCCAGATATTGTTGTGCGAATTCTCGCTGTTTCACTTACAACTGGTTTTATTGATCTCGTTTTTCTTGGTTGCTTAGTGGATTCCGCTAGCAATTATTCCAGGTGGAAACTTGAGTACCAAAATTCCCTTTCAGGTAAGGTATTTAAGACCTTGGAGCAGTTCCGAAGTGCGTTTGCATTGAGTTTACAGGTAAGTATTTCATGGGCTTCATCCTATTTCAAATGAAGGGTTGTGGGGTGGTTGACTTGTCAACTTGCATTTTCAGGAAGCTCGGTAACGGTATTTGGATCACTGAGTTCATTTACCTACAACGATGGACGAGAAGTATGTTACCTTGGCTGTGATTTCGATTTCCATACATTAATGAAGAGCTGCTCGTTTTTATACAGAATTCACACGCCATACAGTAACATCGAGATTACGACCCAGTTATCATTACGGTAAAATCCGGATGTGTCTATAATTCTAAGTCGTCCTCCGTACAAAGTGGTAGAGAGAGCTTTCCTTCAGCATCTGGGATGTACTCCTGTGCAAAATTAGGGCAAGGGTAGTAGGTGGCCTGAAATTGCGATACAGAACGTTGATGTTGCATCTTTGTTATATAAAGCAGGCTTAATACCAGACATTTAAAACAAGTACTCACCTTTCGAACTGCAACGGATTCAGCTCAAGAAATTTATTGAACTTGAAATTTGCGCTTTGTGATGTTAATATACTTCAATACATTTGCTTTAGCGCAGCTTTCTTGACTTAGCCAGTGGTTTTTCGATAATTGGGATATTAGAGGAGTTTCGAAGATGAACGCTGATAGAAAAGGCTTTGCCCATTTCTCTTAAAGTACATGCAATCCTTCTAAAGTACTGTTACTCTAAAGGAATATTTTAACTAGAAAGTGTTCGATATTAAACGTTTTTCGAAAACCTCGTTCTTTTTAAGATTTTCGAGCGAAGCGTAGCAGTCACAGCAATGGTCAACAGGGCATTTGGTGACATCGCTGCGTCGCGCTTAGTAAAATCCCGCTCATACAGTAACTTCTCTGCTCAAAATACAAGATTTGTGAGCGGACAAAAAAGGGAGATTTAGCGTCAACACCTTGTTTACGAAGATTTATCGATTTCGTTTCTGTTTGAATTAATGTAGTACAGAGATACGAGCTGAGCTGTGTTTGTTTAAAGAAGACTAAATTACTTCCGATTAGGTCTGTACGCATCGAAGTTAATGCGGATTGTCGCGAACAACTTCATAAGGGCATCATTTGCTTCCATAAATCCATTTTCGTATAAGAAAGAGGCAGATATCCGTAATACGAAAAGGTGAATGAAGATAGATTAGTGAAGAGTAACCTGTGATTCCCAGTATAGCTTCGCGTAATTACTGTGCTGGAAAGCTACCTCGTTTCCCAGATGGATGGCACTTCCTTGTCGGACGGCTGTGGCTTCTGTGATGCTAGAAAATATTTGTATAAAGTACAGATATTTTCAAAAACTTCGTATTCGAGAATGATGTTTTTTGTTTTTCCGCCGAGTTTGGACCGACAAAGAGCAGGACTGATGAAGCGCTTATGTCATAATCTCACCCATTGTGTTTTGAGTTGGCAGAATCAGGTGAGTTGGTTGGCGAAGATGAAGACACGGAAGAGACACTGGTATTAGCTCCTGAGCTGGTGGCAGTGGTATGCCTTAGTACACTGCTTTCTCGATGTTTTCGCTTATATCGTTGATTTTGAAACCAGATTTTTACCTGAACACAGCTATTTTCTCACGAGTATCTTTTGTTTTTTTTTCATTTTGTGTGAAGATAACGAAATCTGGTCGTGAGAACTCTGAATAACAGGAAACGTCAGATATTGGCTTGCACTTTTCAAGCAGTTATAGGTGATGTAGTACTTGAAGACCATAAAAATAGCAAATAAATGCGAGTGTCTTACCGATTTTGATGGTTGATGGACCACTTTACACATCTGGCATAAGGGATATCTAGCTATCTGTATTAGATTACACAATCATTTAATTTCTAAAGCCAACTTTCTGTTAACCTGGGCATAAAACAAGTAATGTAATATAATTCGCTGTTTTCTCGATGAGTAAATATGAGGTTTTACTCTATTCTTTATTCGCGAAAGAGCTGACGGTTTGGCGGATTTGGTCTTTTTCAGATCATGGAAAGACCATTAATCCAGTCGTCTAAACACCTCCACGGAGAAATATCATGAAATCTAGATTTCAATCGCATTGAAAAAAGCTTTCTCTCACACTACCATTCAGTTAGGGCATATTATGCAATTTTACGTTGTATATAAACAGTCGTGCAGGAAGTTACGAACTGCCTAGCATCCGAAAGTGTTCGGGTGTATTCCAATCACTATCACCGAATTCTCTCTAGCCGACTTTTTAAACAACGCTTTATAGCTACACCTATTTCATTGGAAAGAAACGGTAAGATAGAGGGGACTTTATCTCGCCAAAATTATGGTATTAGGAGTGATTTTTTCTTTACAGCCATCTCGAGGAGCTACAGTTTCGTAGCCACTGGAATGGCCATTCGCCGCGTCAATTTTAGGGATTTTTCCCTCTGCTCTTTTTCTGTCCATCCACTGTTCGAAACAGTTTGAATAAGGTCCTTTTTGTCTTGTAATTTATTTGCAATGAAATAAGTGCAGCTGTAAAACGTTGCTTAAAATGTCTGCTAGAGAGAATTCGGTAACAATGATTGATAATGATTGTAACCGCGTGTATTATCGTCCATATACAACGCGAAATTACATGGTATGCCCGAACAATGGAGAGACGGTGATTACATGATTTCGGGTACGGTGTTCCTAATCTGTTGTAAATCGTGCGGGGTTGATTACATTGGCAAAGCTAATAGACGGTTGTGCATCCGTGTTAAAGAACAACTGGTCGGTAAACCTAAAGTTAAGCCAAATACTGCCTTAGAGCGTATAAGACATATATAATGGGGAATATTTTGAAGTAGAAGTTACCACTCTCGTACTCAAATCTGAAAATTCAACGCACAACATTCGAATTCATAGAAAACAACATTCTGGATAAATTCCAAGAATCAAAAAATGAGCCACAGGAAGGTATGCCTCGTTATCACACGTAAACTCATGTAGTATTGAAGACCGATATTTTAATCTTAAAGAGGCACATCACTCATCCAAGTGAGCTTTGTGAGTTTGGACTCCACTTGAAATCTCAGTGGAAGAATCATAAAAGATGGTGAACGTTCAAAGAAGCTGTTTTGTTTTCAACACTATTTAAAATTTCGTTTCGTGATTTTTCTTTTTTGATTATGGAGGTGTTTGGCTGAGTAGGTTGTAGTCAACTTGGTTTTTTCAGGCTTTGAAGAAGGCGAAATCTGCAGGAACATCAGCTTTTTTCTGAATATGGAATAAACTAACAATCTCATGTTTACTCATAAAGGAGACAGCGAATGATCTGATTAATATAATTTGTAAAAGCAACCTAATTTTTGAAGTGAAATCAAAGGGACTAGAAATCAAATCCACGTCACTTGTTCTCCAGTAAGGCCAATCATTTGGGCGAAGTTGTCCCGCTCAGGTTGTCTTATGTGCTCCTTCTCAGCGAATCTGCCATATGTGCATTAGTTCACTTTCTCCATTAACAGGACTTCTTTATTAGAAGAAATTTTCGATGTCTAGATCGGTATACCGTTGACATAAACTGTTAAGTCTGCATACCTTCTCTGCAGCATATTGAGCTGTAGCTTCGTAAACAAATTCCGTTTTTTCTTGTACTTCGTCGAGGGTGGCACACCTGGATATCATGATCTTATATGACACTGTCACATACTGTCCTACCAGGATTAGTAATAATACGTTCAGTAAAGGCATCTTGATTTCCAATTGACCATTAATGCATAAAATTAGTGCAATAGTTCTGGGGTGTTTTTCTGTAAGCTTGTCCTTGAAGAAGAAAAAATTTGCGTCTAGACATACGTATTTAGCGGTTTGTGGTTACTGCACCCACCATTTGCGTTATAACTATACCAGTTCGTCATGCTAGGATACGGTAGTGCGTGTTGCATAGCCATTGGATATCTAAAATTCTTCCTAATTTCTTAACTTGGCAATCGGAATATAAATTAAGTGCTTCTAGTTATGTACACTAACTAACCCAGCTTGTCCACTTGCTGACATTGGGTAGGCATAATAGGTTGGTGGCATAGGCATCCAAGATAATTCGTCGAAGATTGCACCAGCTGGGTATGTGTAGTGACCGCTTTCCATGTTGACTGTGGAATATATGGAATGCCATTTTTGGTAAATAGATAAGCTATTCGTCCGCTTACAACATTTACCATTGACAGGAATAAAACATCAGAGTACTACGAGTAGAATCACAGAATCAGTAGTATGCCTATTAAATTGATGTAGGAGTAGCTAAGTTTTTGTAAAAGCTTACCTGAACTTGTTAAGAATAGTTGAAGATGAAATGACGTATTGCACCTAAGATGGCGTTCTGAAGCAGTATTTTTCTGCAAAGATAGCGATTTCTCAATCTCCGCCCTTCTGTCCTCAGCCAGGCCTCAACACCGTCTGGTTCCTTCGATGTTCGCCGTTGGCTTCTTTGGCCACCTGTGGGTCCTGCAGGCACGTTAATAAGGGCCCTTTATTTTCAAGGGCTATCATTGAATTCGAGTGCACCGTGAGGCGATTTCTTATGCCGACCGTTTTTGATGTCAGAAACGGTGTATACGCACTTTTGATCTTAAGGATTCTATATGTTTCTATTTTTGCTCGAGAACTTTATAGTCGCAACCCGTGCGCAGCAGCCGTTTTTTCGAAAACAAGATAATTTCGCCATTAATAGAATGGCGGAATTGAAACTTCATGGGCTTATAGAAGAAAATGACTTTACCCCATCGCTTTGCAGGTGTATTTGATATTTGTGAAATCCGCTTTTAATAATTCGCATATAGAGTGCAGTGGTTAGATTCCTGAAATACACACCTGATCATAGGTTCGATTCAGTGCTCCAGGTCCATCTAGGCTTTCATCCTTCCTGGAAAATTAGCGCCAGGCTAGTCTGGAAAGGTAACAGCACTGACCTAATACATCGATAGGCCTCCGACAGTTACTGTATAGACTGGATCACAAACACCTTCAACCCATTCCGCCAAGCTACCATATTTCGTGGTTGACCCAATCGAATACGAGGAATTTTTCATCGGCTGCGGACTGTCTGGTTTTTTGACAATAAAACATCTTTTCATAAACAGAGGATTCGTGGGATTTTGGGCACAATAGTATTGTAGAAGAGAATTTAATGTATCGTTCTATGAGTGTGAATGATGTCTGTGCCACTATTTAATATGTATTATTATGGTCCTTATGGCAAATAAATTCCTTTCGGTTTTGGAAATGTCTTGCAGCTTGTGTTGAGTCTATTTCGGTATGGAGTAACGGTACATTGTTAGTCAAATTACCTGTTAATGACCTTTTTCTCGAAAAAAAAGTTCTTGGAAACCATTGAGTGTTGGGTGCGGTTTTGCTGGACTCGCCCTTGTTGTTTTGAACTGCTTTCTATTATCTATCAAGTGAGTATAGAGAGCTCAGAAAAAGAACCTGGAGCTCACTAAACTGAGTGTGGACACTATGTTGTCCAAACTGTGGTTTTGTCCAAATCGCTGTGGACGCTATGGTGTCCATACAAGGGTGGGATGGATTAACTATGGCTGATGAAGTCAAGAGCATGGCGCTATTACTAGGATGAAAGACTACAAGGAAAATGCCGAACGTTTTCACGCTCTTATGCTTCTGTATTGGATTAATTTGGGATTAAAACCTTGAATAAATTGGAAATCTAAATTTTCAAAATTTCCCACTTAAATGTAGTAGCCGCAAATACAAAAGATGCATTGGTGATCAACACTATGCTTTGCCACACAAACTTCTTCCTTCTTACCCAGTTTTTGTCGTTTTCAAAATACGAGCATCGATCGATTGAAGCTGGAAAAGACAGTTTTGTGGAATCCAAAAGGTCACAATTTCATCATGGTAAAGCAAAAGAACTACAATTGCTAAACGTGCAAAACTCCGAAATAATGGAAATTATGCTGAGGCCCGCACAACAAGTGAAGACGGGCCATCCAAGCATCCAAGTGAGTATAGCTCCTATAGAGGTCATGTAGTGTGTTACATTCTCTGAAACATTTGAACATTTTCATCTCATTCTTCAAAATTGTAATAATTCCAAATTGTGGACGCCCAAGAAATAGGTATGTGGATGTGGTAAGAACAGAAGACTCGTGCAGCACATTCTTGCCACAGTGTTTCCTGCCAATTATTGCTGACCTTTTAACATCTGTCAACAGCTTATCAATATTGCCCTTCGCGCTTGTAGGTGTGATGTAGGTGCGAATAGGTGCCCGATGTGGTGCTCGATAGGTAGTAAGGACATTATCTGTTAGAGTTGTGATTTAAGGTACTATAGAAAAAAGTGCGTGGCCGTCGCATATATGTATATAGTGTATATACGTATGTATATATGTATATACATACATATGTATATATATATAGTAGTCGCATATATATACGTGTATGTACATATGTATGTATACATGTATATACGTGTATACGTATATGTATATATATACATATATATGTAGTAGTCGCATATATATACATATATGTATATATGCATGTGTATATGTACATGTGCGTACATATGTGCATATATACATATATATATATGTATATATATATATATATATATATATATATATATATATATATATATATAT